TTAAATAAAAAGCAAGGACAGCGCAAGGACCCCCGGTGGAATGTACAGCCTGAAAAACGATACTCACTCGGTCGTTAGTGGGTTCTTGGTATTAGAGATTTAATTTATTCGAAGGTGCCTGCGAACACACCGCGAACTGATTTCGTGACCCAAACTTCTCTCCTTCCCGCGATCCCTACACACACACACACACACACACACACACACACACACAAAGAGCCTTTAAAGCACCGCCGAATCTTTTTTCGATGAGAAATGACCCTGGTTTTTAATTCCCAACATGGCAATTAAATTCGAGCCTGCTTACATAATCCGGAATATCATTTTTAAATTAACAAAAATTATTTAGAAAATACCTTTAATTTTATAATACTTGTTAATTACCGGATAGTAGTTTCATTAACGATCCGAGAAAATAAACAATCTCTGATACGTATATATTGTGTTAAGTATTATCAGACTCAGAGAGATACTGCTCTGACAATACCTGATTGTTTCTGTTGTCTGATGAGGTGCAAACTTTCGCGCCAACATTTCCTGTACACATACCGGTGATAATTATAATCTCCGTGAGAAACCCGCGGTTAAATTTATTCAAGGATTTTTATTTATTTTTTTTCCCCGGACAAATACTCTCGGAGCGAATAAATGAAATTAATAATAACAATAACAATAATTACAATTATCACAGATGACTAATAGCATGTGTGTGAGTTTGAAAAGGTGTTAAGCTGAAAAATGATGAGCGCATCATCATCAGCGGCATACATACATCAAGATTTGATTTACGCATCGAGTCATTAAATGGTATGTGTGTATTGTTGGAATATGACTCTCGAAAATTAGTTAATAAGATCTTAATTATAATAATAATAATAACAACAACAACAACAAGAGTCGGTCTGCAAATAATAATAATAATAATAATAATAATAATAATAATAATAATAATAATAATAATAATAATCAGGGTTAAAATACCTGGAAAGCCCTTTTGAAGGTCACTTAAATCTGTTGGACGTTGGACGGGTTGGGGGTCTACTACTGCCAAATACTCCTTTTTTCTCTGTCGTACTTTTGGAATAAGGTACGTCTGGTTCTGGGCGATTGTGTATTGGCGTAGCCGACGTGGAATGTGGTCCTGGTAGGGCCGAGAAGGGGATCATTGCGTGGTCCTGTGGACCTGTGGTCGTGGTGCCGCCACCGCGGCTCTACTCTCTCCTCTATCTCATTTTGTTTAACGTAATACCACGAGCACCACGAGCGGACTACGACCAGGAGGATCACCATGGGTCCTACACACACTCACCTAACATCCAACATGGATCCTGATGATCAAGTTAGAGAGCAAACGAGGTATATAGAAGGTAGAGCCGATTTCTCCTAGCAGTATGTTTCTCCTTCCCTCCACGGTTTTGGCACTCCCAGTCCCAGTCTGCCAGAGCTTTGGGCCCCGGAGGAGGGGTACAGACCTCCAACAGTTGCCCAGGGAGGTCCTCGCCCGCCAAACGAGCTTTATCCCCACAGACGGACCCAAAATCACCATCCTCTGCTCTAAAGATAAAAAACAAAGCTTTTTTCAGCTATTGTTGTTATTTTTCATTGCAAACCAAATTCTTTAGCCTTTATGGCTTTAGTCCTTGTTATTTCTGGACCAGAGATTGGGTGTAGGGCCGCGCCCGCTTCTCACCCTTCGATCTACCGGCACAATCAAAAAATTTTATCGATCCATCAGCCCGGTCTTGTTGCTCTTGTTCGCTTCGGCAGATTCTTTTTCGCCCGTGGGAGTACATGGTCAAGGGTCACCTCTGCTCCCGCTGCTATATAACAGCGTGTCTAAATTCAACAACTGATGGTACCTCCATAAAAATAAGCGTTGCAGTAAATGTATTTCATCGCTTCTTATTATCTGCAACACACAATTATTTTTAAATTTTATTTTTGTACAATAATTCTAATCAATAAGCAGAAAGAGGAGCAAAAATTCTGGCGCCAAATAATTTTTTCGGATACAATAAATGGCTCGAAAAAAAAAAAAAAAAAAAAAAAAAAATGATTTAAAACCTCGAAAAATAAAAGCAAAGGCAATAACAATTTTGACAATATATATTTTTTAAAGACAACATATAGAATCGCGTGCATATAAGCTGATGGGTATTTGGAGCTCGAACCACCAAGCATGTCTGGACCACCGGCACTTATACGAATATCATCATCCTTTCTCTTTCATACGCGGTGGATTTTCACACGATCTTCATGTTTTGGGCCTTAAGCCATCATTTTACGAGCCTAATTTTTTTATTTAGCTTTTTCCTATTCATTATAATGTCTGTATACGCACACATTGCTATAAAAATTTAATAAATAATATTTTTTATTATTGTTTCAATGAATTTTTTCCATCAGAACAATAGTCGTGATTGTAAAGTTGTTGGTAATTCTTGGTTACACTAGTATAGTTCTTTGTCTGAACATTCCATTCTCGACAATCGTCTGCGGTTTGGCGGGAAACAAACCATCAAACCCATCTAAAAATCATCTCCAGCTAGCAGTATGTACTTATAAAATTTTTATAATAAATAATTAAAAAATTTATCAGTGTTTTAATTTAGAATTACAGCTTACAAGATCCGGAATGAAAATTATCAGGCATGAAGAATTTGACAAGATGAAGGAACCAGTAATTTATAAGTGCTCAAAATGACCCTCTCGCGACTGAAATAAGTTGGTATAATTACTTAATCCGACTGGAGTACGTTTGGCGAAGAGACATGCAACAGAGAGCGTCGTTATATTGTTATGATGGGTGCTGGGCTAACATTATATCAAAAGGAATAATAAAAAAAAAAAAAAAAAAAAAAAACTAAAGACCCGAAACTAACAGCAAGGGAAACGATTTGTTTAAGATTAATAAAACAAAAGTGACGCTTTAGTCATGTCTTAATGAGACAATGGGTATGAGTTGTGACCAAGATGACATGGATGTGGAGTTTAAACAGACCAGACTGCTCTATCAACCAGTAAATCAATCTGTTGGCCTTTTCCCATGACCAAGCTCAATTACCAAGTTATTTTTCTTAAACGCTTACTATTTTAAGCAAAACCCTTCATTATCTTGTGACTCACTTTAGACTTTATTTATGTCAATTAAAATTACTCCAATATTTTAATTTTAATTTTAATATATGTATATGAGAGAATCCAAAAGTTAATTATCTTTAAAAAAATTTCTTCAATTTTAATTTTACTATACAAAAGGTATTTTTTTTTAAGTTGTTTTTTCTTCTTTGGTAAATTTTAGGTAGTAAAAATAATAATTTTCTTGAAAATATTTAAAAAAACGAATTTGACCGTTCTGTTTGTACTTGCCAGACCAAATATTAACAATCCACTTGCTGGTACGTATTTAATTATATTCAAAAGATGTATGTATTGAAATAAGACAAACTAAACAAATTTTAGCAGATCGGCATTACTGATCAGCAGCTTTTTATTTTCATTTTTATCTCAGCACGCACAAGATATTACCAAATTGTACTCTAGACTCTCAACTCAACTCTGGTTATTTTGCAGGAAACGCAATAACGTTTAAGCCTTTTGAAGGCTGCCGTCACTGGATTTTGAAGAAGAAAACAAAACAAATAAATTGTTTTTAATACAGCGCGTAGGAAAATTCCGACCAAAAAAATATATTAAAAATTAATAAAGCCTTTAAAAAAATGTAAATAATATTTGGCGATAGTTTGTACAAAAGAGCAGATCGAAAAATTAGCATGGTACCTGATATAAGCCCCGGAGGGTTTGCGGAGGAGGTGTGTCGATAACCAGGCCCAGAGTACCCTTAAAGTTTATGTGATCCTGTGTCGACATATACACACCAGGTTGGACCAAGAGCTTCGAAATCTCTTTTGGCTGGCATAATACACGCCTGTATGTTAAAATTCAACTTTGATCAGCAGGTATGTATGAATGTATATACATATTACATATCCTTATACGTAAAAGTTAACTTCTCAGCGCCTCCAGATAGTCTTGTGACCGTGAGAGAGACTTTTTAAATTCCCACAAATCTCATATCAATAATTCAATATGTTTTATTTTAATTAGCGACAACGTGTATGGCTGGCAGTTAATGTGTTAAGGTCATAATAAAATTAAATTAATAAATAAGTATACTGCTTATAAAGTGGGGGACCAACGCTGAGATGACTCTCTTTTGCACAACACGTGTCCAGACTACCAAATAAAATCCAGCCTGGGATACAGACCTATATATGAATTTTAATTTATAATTTTACCACGACCAGAGCACGTGTTTATCTTCAGCTTCAGAGGAAGAACATCTCAGACTTATTCTGCAAAACCACTTCACCGGATATGCTCCATTTTTGTCATCCTTGCTGACAATATGTTCCGCAACCACTCTACACACACTGCAACCATTTATTGTATAATTATTTATTTGTCAGAAAATTATTGACTTGGTGTAAGTATTTTTATTTGAAGTTTTTGTATATCGTAACGAGTACATGATTTTAAATATACATATCGACGTTCTAATTAGCAAATTGTCTCTCCATTTTAGAGGATCTTCTATTTGTACAAAAAAAAAAAAAAAAAAAAAAAAAAAAAAAAAAAAAAAACAATTAGTTCAAAATTTAATATCACTTTAAAAAATCATTAATATCTAATAAAGCTATAATATTTTGGTTTAAATAATTCAAATAATTTATAATTAGACTATTGCTACATCAAAATGTTAAAAAATCACCTTCTAAAAAATAAGGAGAGACAAATTGCTAATTAGACCGTCGATATGTCGATATGCGAGGCATTATAGTTGGTCTGACATGAATATGCTAAGCGAATTTAGAGGTAATATTGAATATTACTGTGGTTGAATTGTATAGCTTTTATATTAATTGATTCATATCCCTCTAAAATCTTCACATCTTATGTTTATGTTGGATCTTAACAGTCGTAAAAATTAATTCTTACAGTTTTACGAAATTGGTATCACCAGATATGCTGCAGAGTAACATAGTAGAGAAAGAAACTCTACTGCCCGTAGAGGGGGAGGACGGAAGGGATGGGAGACATCGCTCTGGAAGGGGCTTCATTCATAAATGCTTGGTGAGGCGTCAATGGATGCGCCTGTAACCAACCTCGACAGAATTTCTTCTCTCTTGCTCTCATTCCAGGACTTATTTCCCGAGCTTTTTTCTCTTTTTCTCCCTCCAATTTAAATAGCCGACTCTTTCATCATCATCTTCTTCTTCTTCTTCTTCTTCCCTTTCTCATCTCCGAAGAACCAAACCAAACAGCTCGACCAAATTCTGCAAAATAAAATCCCTTATCAATTTATATTTTTAAAAGTTTAAACTATAAAGTAGTAAGTACATTTATGTTGTTATTATATCGGGAGGCTATGAAATGTTTATTTAAATTATTTGCTCCAGCTCGTGACGATAAAAGAAAAGCAGGAGGGTCTGGTATGCGAAAAACGAGACGCCGGATGTGTGACATCATCTATACGTATGTTATGACCACTCATGCGTATTTTTACTCACCGATAAACAAATTTTTGCTATTTATTTATATTAATAAATAATTTAAACTCAGTTTAAAGGGTTTGTTCCTTAACTGACAGTTAAAATTATGCAGAAGGTATGCGTGCGAGTCAGCATTATGTCTTTCTTTCTCTGATTGGTCTTGTACACAATATTTGTAGCATATATCCCCTTCATCATCATCATCATCATCAGTATCATAATCCTCAGTCTGAGGTGGTTTTTGGTATGTGACTGTGCATACACGGCTTATGTACCTACTGTACAAATAAAGAAAAAAAAAAAAAAAAACGTCTACCAAACGAAAAACGCTAAAAAATAAGACCAAGACTAAAATACCAAGAAGAAAAATAAGACCAAGAATAAGAATAAGAGGAAGAAAAAAAATAAGATAAAAAAACTATCGAGTGTGGACCCGCTAGGGACAGCTTGAAACAGCTCGTGGGTGTGGGAATGCTATGTGCCAATGTACCTACTCTACTCATCCTATCGGTCTTCTTTATTATTTTTCTTTACCACATTTAAATCCATCAGGTACACCACCAGCTACTCTTTATATTTACAAATAAGTTTAATTATTTTTATTTTATTTTATTGATATATCCTTAAACGCAGACTAAATTAAAAATCCCACATAAATTACGCTATCAACACCTTAACATTTAACTTGGTAATTAAAAATTTATTCAGATATTATTTTATCATCACTCGGAGCCGACTATTTTTTTTTTTTTTTACAATCTCCTACTTACATGCATACATTTTAAATTTAAATATATCGTTAAATTATTTGCAACTATTATTATCATTATTATTTATCTGGTATATAAGCCGCAATAAAATTGTTTCCGGGATAGTATGCAGAACCACTTCCCATAAATAATAAAACTTTTGTTGCAATTATAATTATTACATATATTGAATTAATACCAACAATATTTGTAAATATATTTATGAATGTATGTGTAAGTATGAATGGTTTATTCCAAGAATGAATGAGCCTCATGTTTTCGGAGCGCACAGTACTTGTAATATAGCTTAGGACTCGTTTTATATTATAAGTATGTATATGTGGCATATTGGGTTTAGCTTGGCACAAGATGTAAGCCGAAACCAGTACAGCAAATAGTTTAATCTTACACCTTGATACATATATAAAACAATACAATCACAGTTGGAGTAATTTACCGTAACAGTATACAGAAAAACCTTGAACAGAGTGTCATCATTCCGAGAATCGGATAATTTATAAGCTATTGCGCCTAAATTTTGTCACGCTTTGTCTTCTAAAATTAATAATTACCAAGCATATGGTGGAAGACATGTCTGGATGTGAAAACGCAATAAAACCCCAGCCGTTTTGTTAGAAGAGGGTATTGGTTTAAATGTACACACTAAGAGAGTCTAAAAAAATTAAAAGCCCCGGCGGTGTGTGAGTCTCAGCCGGAAGTTTGGACTTTAAATTGTCAGCTAGACTCTGACATCACGTGGCGCTAAAGCGGATGAGATGTTACTTCTGTTGTTGGTAGTTTTTAAAGAGAAAGCCCTGCTCATTTGGTATCTGTGGGTTAGGCAGTATAGGTAGCCTCGCATCAGGATGATCAGGATCAGCAAACCTGAAAAAGGCCAGGAATGAGAAGAGGAATAAAAAAAACTGGGATCGAGAAGATGAAGAAGTGAAAAAGAATAAGAAATACGAAAGGAGGCTCGAGCAATAACCGAGGGCTACGGGCAAATAAACAATAAGAAAGACAGACGAGAGAATGGAGGTTGTTGGCGATGGCGATGGCGATGGCGGTAACGGCAGTCCAACTAAAACAAGAGGCTCTGCTTGGTTGGTTAGTTGCTCCTTTGGTATTATGGCCTTTGCCCGGTCTTATTCTCAGGAAAGGATTCTTGGAAGTGCCGACCGTCCTAAAGTTGCTCTCCTCTTGTCTAGGATCAACGATCCAACGATCCAACGATCTAAAGGCACCAAAGGCTCCAAAGGCTCCAAAGGCTCCCTGCTATACTACTTGTTCACTTATTTTTATTCTTATTCTTGATACCAAAGCTCACCGCGACCTTTTATACGTAAACATCTCTCACAACAATTATTATTTCGAGTGGACCGAATTCTCGGGCTTATAATAAATACAAGGACACTGCTTTTTAATAAATTCTCTCGAGTTCTGGTTACTTTGCTCTATCGGTATAACCAACGGAAGCTGTTATCAAGCGATAAAGTATCTTTGTGTGCTGATATAACTCTCGAGAAAAGAGTATCATAATAATAATAATAGTTGTATTATTATTATTACTTATACAAATAGCTCATACATATGTCTGACGTCTGTATATATATATATATATATATATATATATATATATATATCTATATATAATATCAATGGGTGTGGTCCAAGTAATCGTTATTATGTAATAAATCATTATTCATGTAATGATACTTGGTCAATAATTTAAATAACCGATTGGGTTTGGTTACTCGGTCAGAATCAGACGATTAAAGCGTCAACAACTACCTAATAGCCCTTTTGAGATTATCCGGTGAAAGACGGGCAGCTCGTGCTACACTATACACACTGTACATACTTCTGATGTACTGAGAAACAGTCTATACATATATATATATATTAGCTGGTTTGAGTTGTCTGAAAACGAGATTCCAATGGTGGACTGCATCCCAAGCAGTTCGACCAAAAACTCATTTGCTTCACAGCATCATTTAGACATATACACATCTGAGATAACATGTGAAGATTACTTATATAAAGACAACCTGACTATTTCAGACGACTAGTTAGAGTTATTTGTACTCTTCTTTTTTATTTTTGATATCTAGGAGCTATGTGACTGAATTCACATGATTTTTGACACTTGTTTGGGTATGAGACGCGAGAAGTAAAACACTTCCGCAATTTTATACCGGCAAAGAGAATGCTAAAAATTGAATGTCTTGAATTCCGAGTTTGACTGGTAAAAAAAGATTAAACTCGGATAAAACATTTAAAGGGCCGCAATGACAAACACTGGGAACTTGGAGGTACTGGACCCAGCCACAAAAGAACGACTCTGGTCAGTGTATCAGTGTTTGTGCAAGTGGGTATTGAGAATTGAATTTGGTATTAAATTCACAGCGAGATTCCACTATTGACGACACCAAATCTGGCTGTACCGATCGATGAACCAGCATATCATCGACTATCTTTCTTTTGATCAAACATTTCACAAAATCAATTATACCCAAACACTTACTTCAATACTAAGAACTTGATCGTTCTGCAAATTAATTTGTACATGGGTTAAACACAACTTTTTACCCAACACAAACGTCATTCTTATATACTCTTTAAATTATTTTAAATCACTACACAGATCCCATAATGTGTACTTCATTTTATGGTTTCTCAGGTATAGCATATGTCACTGAAGTTTTTTTTTTTTTGTCTTCTTTTTTTCTTCAGAATCTAGTCAATGACTAAACAGAAAATATTGTATTACATTTTAGTAAAAATGGTAACCTTGAAAAAATCAAAAGAAGAATTTTTCACAATCCGGTTTACTTAAATGGTTTCCTTTTATCATTGAAGTTTTAGCACTATACTACAACTACTACCTGATGTTAAACTTGACATCATTCAAGTGTCCAAAATTCAATATGTTCAAGAGCTTAAGTATCGACCTTTCTGCAGTGTCTTGCAGAGCCCAGTCAATAAAATTTTACGGCTATTATACAGCCTTCTTCCTGGTGCCTTTTTATTATGTTAAAACGCAAAGGAAAAGCCATATCCTGGTGATTGTCTCGACCTAGCGGTTTTTCTGCACAGTAGAGGAAATCGTCTTCAATGCTGAAGAAAAAAATAACAATAATACTAAAAAGATTTATTGAATTATTGATAAAACAATGACTGATCAGGATGACGTTGTGGTATCTAAAAGTGACTCGGAATTTAGCTTGGAATAGTTGGGTTTGGTGGTGTGGGGCGTTCCCACCCTTGAGACCTAAAGACCCGCGGTCTTCCTCTCATGACCAAATACAGAGGCTAGCCCTCTACTCAACTTGCTCACTCTTGACTTGCTCTTAAGTTGCCCTCCAGCAGCACGAAATAAAGAACCCATGCAGTCGCGAGTGTTTTTGCTGGTGGACGGTTCCAACCCGTCCTCTTCCTCATCCTTCATCCTTTCATATACTTCACATCACCAGCAACAGCCAAGTGCTAGCTTCATCTTTCCTTCTTTCTCTTCATCATCATCATCATCATCATCATCATCATCATCATCATCATCATCATCATCTCATCGTCTGCTGATGCGTGGCTTCTTTTACTACGTTCCAGGGGTCCCAATCGCTCAACGATTCCCATCATCAGGGCAAAGGCATCATGAGTTTAATCAAAAATTTCGGTAAAATCGTGTGAAACAATTGCATTGGTTTTTTTTTTTTAAATCATTTCATATATGCTCAACTTGGACTGTAACTTTTTGCCCAACTTTTTCAGCTGCTACACATTTAAATGCCTATTTTATTATTATTGCAACATATCCAGAGGTGTATGATGGAATGCCAGCGGATATGGTAGTCCAAGGTCAGACCAAAAGCAACCGATCATCAACCGCTGGATCTTTGCCACGGAGTTTATTACTATACCAGCGAGTACTTAACTTGCCACTTATTATTTCCAACTGTTTAGTCAAGACTGGACTTACGTCCATTATCGATGCCTTGGTAGCCCTATTTAGCATCACAATAACAATGTAATTTTATTATCATAAAATTTACGTACAGAAAACAGTGAGCTTTCTCCTGGTTATCTCCAAATTTTACTCAACCAGACCTCTATTGATTCGTCGGGCTTCCATTAAATTCGGCATTCAATTTTATTAACACTTGTAGCAACACCTGTTGTCAATAATCAATAACAATAACTGTTTATTAACAATTATTCTCTCCAACAATATAAATAATAATAATAAGAAGAAGATACCCTCGACTACCAAAAAACTGATGGAATTTTATTGGTTTTTATTGATCGATCCGGAACTAAAACAAGAAGTCGTACACCCATCTCTGCTGAGGGCCCTGTCAACTGGAATTGTCGAGTACAGTATGTAAAGTGTACGTCCAACATTGAAAGCTGTGAAATAACTCCCGAAGATGCTCAAGGTAAATTTAAATTATTTATTTAATATTAATTATAAATTAATTATTATTGGTGGGTTTTTAGAAATTTGTAACGAGCCATTAATTACCGGGTCGTGCGACGCTTCATTTAAAAGAGTTTACTACAATTCAACGGCAAAAAAATGTGAGATTTTCACTTACAAAGGATGCGACGCGAACAGGAATAATTTTCATACTCTTGAAGAGTGCATGAAAGTTTGCAATGAAATTCAGAGTAAGTTTTTTTGCTCTTTTTAGATTTATTTTATTGATACTAACATGTAATTTTATTTCACGCTGACTAACAAGGGATGGGGTGGGATAAATCTAAGATTGAAGATGCTTCTAAGTACAAAGTATCGATTAGTAGCGTACTTAGTTATCACGTTCCGGTTAATCAAGAGAAACACCGTCGAAAGTCTAAACGCGAGCGTATCGGTGATCTCTTTTGCTAGTTTACTAATTTTTATATTTTTTATTGAATAATTTTAATGAGAAGTTAAATTATTAGGTCCAGAGTCTGAGAATTTTAATGGGATCCCAAGCGGGAGTCAAGTGTCGTCAATTACTCCGAGGTACGATGAAGATGCAAAGGTGGATTGTCAAATAACTCCCTGGAGCGATTGGACTATTTGTCAGAGTTGCCATGGATACACCAACAGCAGTCGATCTATCTTGGTAATAATTTAGTGATAGATAATTTAATTTTTTTTTTTTTTCATGAATTAAGTATATATTTGTTGATTAAAATTAGGTCCAAGCACAAAACGGTGGAAAAAGGTGTCCTAAGAAATTGATGAGAAAAATAAAATGTCACAAAATACTACCCGGATGCTGTGAGTATTCAATTAATTTATCTGTATGAAAATTTTATGAAATAATGACTTTTGTTAAATTGCACTGTACTTTCTTAAATATTGACGTTTTTAAAGAAATAAGCTCATCCCGCCGATGTTACACTCATCGAAACCTTTCATTTAAGTACCCACATGACAATTTTTATATATTTCATATATATGGTATTTCTGATATATATAGAAATATATAAAATATATGAAAAATTGATGTGGGTACTCAAATGAAAGATCTTGATGAATGTAACATCGGGATGAGTTTATATCTTTAAAAATGTCAATAGTTCACGAGATACAAGCCGTGATTTTGCTTATTTCCTTAATAATACAGATTAATTGAATTTAATAGCAAAAAATCGCGGTGATCGGCGTAAACGGTACCATGATCGAAGATCTGTATTGACAGATCAAAATAACAGAAATTCCAGCCGAGGTAATTTAAATTTATCAAATAATAAATATAATTCGGGGAGAAAATAATAATATTAATTTCAGTTGACTGCAAATTGACTCACTGGTCCCCTTGGTCTCCATGCCACACAACTTGCGGCAATGCTGTTCAGCACCGAACCCGAAGAATCAAGATCCACCCGCACGGGCTCTACAGTAAGCAATGCACCAAACTTGTTGAGTTTCGCAAGTGCTCAATGTTTCCTTGTATAGCCGAATAACCCTTGTTTACTTTTTTATACGTTAAAAAACCCCGGAGAAGAATTATTGTCGAGTAATAAATTAGCAGCTAGCAATTATCAAACATATATCAAGTGATTGCTAATTGCTAATAATTATAAATAATAACAATCTGTTTTTTATCAATTATATAACAGTTATAGTTAAAAAAAAAAAGTATTTAAATTATATATATATATTTATAATTAATTATCAACAATCATTGCTAAGTCATAAAAAACAAAATCACAACGCACATATCCCAACAAAATTGATTATCAACTGCGAGGGTGTCATTGAAATGTGTAATCAAAATATTTCATTGGAATTTCGGATCCAGTATTATCTAAAAATACATTTATAGTAATTGTAATCAAATAGTCTGTTTTTACAATACAATAAAATTAAATATGTTACATGTTAATATATTTTGTAGATTACGTTTAATTTGTGTGATCAGTAATTAATATTAAATAATAAATAAAGAAAAAGCACATTATGTAAAAAATGTGATTAATTATATGTGCATTTAGGTTTGTTTTTTACAAAAAAAAAATATTAAAAAAATGAGCTTTATTCTAACCATTAAATAATTATCAGTTAAAATATAATATATTTATTGTAATAATAATTAAAAAAAAAAAAAAAATTATTATTATTATTATTAAATCTTAATTATTTTTATTACAATAAACGTATAAGCGTACAACAAAAATAACTGTCTAGTTAAATATTTATATATGTAATGTATATGCATCAAGTGCTTATATAATTGTCAAATTTGTTTTTTATTTCAAATATATTGTTTTAAAAAAATTAGTTACTATTAATTTACAATTTATCAACCCATTTTATTGTCAGCCAATTTATCGGTATATTCTTCTTCAGACTGTTGATTTAATTTATTTAAAATTGGTCGGAGTATTACCTTGAGGTTCGAAGCAGTTTCTGTTTTCGAGGATATTTTTGCGGTGTCTTTACAGTGTTCAATAATTGTATCCCTTACAGTGTTCTAAAACATTTTAAATAAAAAAAAAATTAATCAGTGTTTTAATGACAATTTACAATACTTATGTGATGAAAAATAAAAAAATACTTACAGCCTTTTCCTTGTTACCGTCAACAGCAATTATCACCTGAACACCATGTCTCTTCCCAAGCATTTTATTCATACTCTTAATTTTAGTGAACAAATCGTGCTCCGAAATTTTACTGGACATGGCAATTGTTTTGTCTTCCTTGATAGTCCTTTCTTTGGCTTCCTTGGCTTGAGCTTTTGTTGTCGCTTCTGACTGGAGGTACTCCTGAATTGTCATGAGCTTGTAAACAGGTCTCTCAGTCTTGGTGTCAAAGTCAATTATTTTTACAAGCTTCATGTTATGCCTGTTGGCGAGTTTTTGAGCAGCCTCCAGGGTGACAATAGAAATCTCATCTTTATTCGACAGCAAAGTTATCCTGGGTACAAATACTTTTTTTTTTTTGGGGTTCACCGGATCTTCAAGTCCTATTATATTACAGTAGCACTTATTATAATTAATATTAACACTATCATTGTCAGTTAGAAGCATCACTCGCGGAAGAATACATGCCGGTTGTGAAATTTTATTATTATACCCGATTGGATTTAAATTATTTGAAATAATTCGAGTAAAATTATAATTTCTCAGACTTTTACACAACGCGTTTATCGCCATGGTTAGTTCATACTCAAAGAAAAAGACCTCTAGTCACGTGACAGGTTCTTATTTGTGATCACCTGACTGTTACAAGATGGCTGCTCCAATAATAACAATAATATACAAAAATACCCACATCTATATCTATAGTGTGATAGTTGTGTGAAAATAATATATAACATAAATAAAATGTACATACATAGTGTTGTGTTCCAAAGGCTAAATAAAATTTAAAAATCATTTATCTTTTAATTTTTAGTATTCAATGTTCTTGAGCTAATTTTATTAAATTTACTATAGATTATAAATAATTTATTGGAGAAATGTGTCAAGTGCCTTAATTAATACTGTAGCCTGTTTAAAAAAACCTAAACCTTTATTGTGATAAATTATTTGTTGTGATAAATCTGCCATTTAATTATGGGAGAAAAAGGTAATTTCTTTTGGATTTTTAATTATGAAATGATGAATTAATATTTTGTTTTTTATTTTTATAGAGCATCATGTTCATTTTAGTGGAGGTAGTGGTCTTGGTTTTAATAATATTATGATACAACCCCAACGTCATGGGCATTTAGATACACATTTAGGATTCTTACAACGTCACCATAGGTTTGTTTTTATTATTTATTATTTTAATTTAATTAAAAAAATCATCAACTTAAAAATAATATTAATTTATGAGAATTAAGTTATTAACCCCGTCATCTAAAATTTTTTAGAATTCTTTTCTATTAACGAGATTATTACAAAAAAATAAAAAAAAAAAAATTCAATTTTTAAAAAAACTTTAAAAACTATAAGTGCAATTTTTTCAATGTAATATTTAATTCTAATTTAATAATTAAAAAATAACTCCGAAAATTAACAATTTCGGCTAACTTTATTATTATTAATAAATTATGATATTAAATTTAGCTGTCACCACAATTTTTTTAATTTTCTTTAATAAATAAATTATGGTAGAACAAAAAATATTAAAAAAAATTGGCTTGTAGAAATTTTAATAAATTATTTTGTTAAAAAAATAAAAAAATTCTTTAGTGACTGCTAACTTTAATGGCATTATTAATTTTAGACAGTGTGATTAATATTATAAAAAAAATTAATAGTCAAAAATTGATTTACCTAGGTATCACATAGAATTTTCAGTACCGTGGAACAAATGTATCCACGTAGACGGTAAATCTAAAGTACCAGCAGTGATAGTAGACAATAACAATCCAAATTGTATAGTTAACGAAGTATCCCAGGAAAAGGACGACCTAAGGATAAAGCTTGAATTATTAGCCTACCACGAATTTTTAAAAGAAGTTATTCAATTAAAGTGCTGTGAGTCTGGCACGCCGCTCAACATCACACTGAAAGCCAGAGTCCTCAGCAGGGATAAAGGGACTCCGATGTTACGAAATGGAATCCACAGTATCGGAATCGAGGCCAGCGAGGACGATGAAGACGACGTGTCTGAGTAGTTTTTAATATAATTATTAATTGATATTAAAATGGTCTACTCAACTACAAAACAATAATTAATTTAGATCTGAAAAACAAGGGGCTACTCTAGACGTAATTATTTATTTCAATTGTAAGGTGGTTCGGCTTTAAAAAAATACTTTTTAATAAAAAATGCATTTAAATATTAACATTTAATAATTTAATTAATAAAAATTATAAATAAGTAATCTAGGAATAGAATTTAATCACAAGAATTAAGACATTGAAAGCGTCCTTTCTTTGTAGGTATACCGGTAGGTCCGTCGACAAACTCACAGATATTGAACCCCAGATTCACCAGAGGATGACAATTGCTTCTAGGATTCCCCCATTTCCCGGTGAAGGACATCCAGGAGGGCGCTGTTGAGGGATTCTCCGTGGGGATCAGCTCGAGGTTCTTCCAAGTCGGCCAGGGTGTTCCGAACCCGCTTTCGTCGTAGAGTCTGGGGATTCTCACGAACTTGTGCTTGCCCGGGGCCGTCCATAGCCCATGAGAGCCTTTTGCGCTGAAGAGGATCGGATGCGAGCCACTGGAGGTGAAAACGCGCTCGGGAAATATCGGCTTCTGGAAAATACCCTTCCGGGTTTCTTGGCTCTCGTAAATGAAAGTTCCGCTTCTGACGTCGTATCTGTAGTAGGCTCCAGCGTCGTGAGCGGATACGTACATCGCTACGGGATGGTCCTCTCCCTGCAATCATAATCATCATTATCTCAATCCATCATCAACACATAATAAGTTTATTTATGAGTTCATGAGCTAGCAATTTAGCTTCAAGCTCTCTCATAAAATTATACCAGTAATTGTCTTGAAAGTTAACAATTTTTTTTTTAGTTAAATTATATTAATGTTTATCTATGTATATTATTAAGAGAATAAGAAAAACTTTTGTATCCAGGATAGTCTTATGATAAAATCGGTTTTTTTTTTTAGTAAAATTTAGTATCATTGCAAAGGTCCTGACTTAAGTATTTAGGTTGCATTAGAAAATTCTCTATCTCCAGATACATAATTAAGATATTACCTTGTATCTTGTGAACTATTGACATTTTTAAAGATACAAGCTCATCCCGATGTTAGACTCATCCAGACCTTTCGTTTGAGTACCCACATCAATTTTTCATATATTTTATATATTATAAATATGTATATATGAAAAATATATCAAAAATGCATGTGGGTACTCTAATGAAAGCTCTTGATGAGTATAACATCAGGATGATCTTATATCTTTAAAAATGTCAATAGTTGAGAAAGTACAGTGCAATTTAATAAAAGTCATTATCGAAGAAAATTATAGAATTATCCAAGCTAATCTGATAATTAAAAAAAAGTTGAGTAAAGCTGACCGTAAAATAAAGACTCATGTGTTCCCAATCGCCCACGTGATTTCCATACTCTTTAAGTTGACCGAGACAGAGTCCCCCCACACTGGGTATCGGCCATGTGCCAAAAAAACCAAGATCCAGAACACATACAGCCTTTCCCTCGCTGAAAGGATAGAACATCCAATAGGTCACGTGAAAGTGCAGCTTCCGTAACCTCTTTCCCTTGGAGATCAATTGGGTCGGTTCTCCGGGATTGTTTCCTTCAGGTATCTCGTTGCTTATCACCCGGCTTTCCCGTGAGTGCAAAGCACGCTTCCGCTTTATCACCAGACTCTTGGAATTCTGCGCGCTGACGCAGTTCTGGACCAGGGCGTAAATCGGGACTGTGCCAGGCTCTCTTCCGTAGAGAAAAGACGTCTCGTTAGCCAGGAGCGTTTCTGAAAATCATCCCATTAGAAAGCTTATTATTATTATTATTATTATTATTATTATTATTTTACAATTATTAACTGTAATTTAAATCGTGATTAATAAAAAAGCATCTTACTAATGTCGACACGTGTGCGCAAGTAATTGTCGCCGGCTTGCACGTGCTCCAAGAACTCTGGTACGCTAAGCGGCATAAATCTTTCTCCAGGTGCCAGCCACACGAGTGGAGCCCATCCACTTATCAGTCCTCTTACTGTTGTTGGGAAAAAATAAAAAAAAAAATTACAACGTCTGTTATTTTAAAAAAAAAAACTTTCTTCAGTTGTCAAAAAATACATAAGAGATAAATGCAGAGAACACGCGATTCCGTACACTTTCTAGCTCTCTTCAATTACTCAGCTATTACGTAAATATAAGTAACTACCGCACTGCTTTATAAAGATTTTATTTAATTTATAAACTTCCGGTCTTTACTTCCGATTAATGTTATTTCTTCTTTTAAATTATAACTGTAAATAAAAAATTCTTACTTGCAATTTTTTTTTAATTTATACTTGTGGATTTTTTTTTTATAAAAAAATTTTGCTAATTTTTATATCATGTAAGTAATAAATTAAAAAAATTTACATTAATGGCAAGAGAATTTTAGTTAGTGGGTGTGATAAATAATGTGACGTTATTTGAATATTATTTTTATAATATAATACCGTTACACTGATTACACACACGTGTAAGTATATAGATGTAAGAAATCAGTAAATGATGAGGAGTTTTTCCGGTTAGGAAACGAGTTCACCAATAAATACTCGATTATACAAGTATCAACAAGCCTGGTTATTGCAGTAGCAAGTGGCACGACTAGTTGACGGCACGAGACACACTCCTATTAGACCGATACTGTCAATTTACTATTTACTATTTATTATTTTTACTATTATATGTAATGCTTACTCTGGTCAGTTGCTCTGGTAAATAGTTACTTTAACGAGGACACTTACTGGTATAAATATAAATAAAAAAATTATTAATTATAATTACTTACTGCGTTTGTCTTGATTAATCCTCGAAGAACATTGGCTTGAGTTGATAATAATCATCAGTAAAAGACGTATCATATTTTCTTTGGCGCATTTTGACAAAAATCAGAATTGGCTCATTTTAAAACTTATTATTAATTTTATTATCAATTATCAATCAATAACAACTGATAAGGATAATATATTGTTGATGATGATAAATAAGAAGCACTTCTCCAGGTGAAACGTCCGCAAGTGACTGACTGGATATTTTAAAGATTTCCTCGCGCCATTCACCGGCTCGCGCATTAGGGTCGTCGGCGGGTATCACTCCAGCTTACATATGTTGGGAATTTGAACGGTCTTGTAGACACATGCTTACCTTTTTAACATGCTTGTGTCGGGAAACACGTTTGAGACTTCTCATCAATTTTATGCACAATTATAATTATTAATTATTAATTATAATTGCTTAAATAATAGATATAACTGTTATTAATTATTTTACTCAAGATTGTGTTATTTATTTTTTAAACATACATTTATATAACAGCTTAAATATTAATTTTTGCTTAATTACATAATTTACAGATTAATAAATTAAATTATTAAATTCATTTAGCGACTTTAGGCAATCCATATTATTATTATTATTATTATGTTTTATCGCTTGATATTTTGATTCATTCACTTTAAAACTGCTTGTCAAATTTTAAAATAAATTTATTGATAATTACCAGCATTCATTTCAATTTAATTTAAATCATCAGTCTCTTAATTTGTTAAAATTAAATTAATTTCCAATTTCCAATATGTCAAATATTAACTGCACTCAATAAATATTATTATATTTTGTCCGTTTTAAATATTTATGACCTGGATATAAATATTTAGTAAAAACACAGCACTGATAAACAAAAGTTTGAATTTTAAAAAGTCACAAGGAAGAGCTATTTTCCTTTTTTGTAATAAACTTAACACTAAATAAAATAATCACAAAAAAACTTCAAATATTTTGGATAAGCCATTGTGTGTTTATCAATTATTTAAAAAAGTTTAATTAAACTTACACTACCTTTGTGTGATTGTAATTGTCCGAATTAACAGACTTCTTCTATTCTCCTTCGACAGTTTGGACAAGACTTGTGACTTTCCTATTAAAATTATAACATACATTATTATTATTATTATTATTATTATTATTATTATTATTATTATTATTAATAATTAAACTAAATTTAACAGACAGCTGAAAGTTTTTTATTTTATTCAAAAGAATAAATTATGAAATTTAATTTAGCATATATTTAATTCAATAATTTTTAAAATTCTATAACAAATAAATTATAAAAAAAAAAAAATTACATATGTAAAAAACTTGAAAAACTATAAGTGCAATTTTTAAAAAAACTTTTTTAGTTCTAATTTCATAAATGAAAAACAATCAAAAAAATTTAAAACGTCAGCTAACTTTAGTATTATTTGGCTGTTAATTAATTATAAATTGTATCAATAATTACCGTCTGTCCTTGTTTCTGCCAATCTTGAATGCATTTTAAGTGAAAAGCATGCCCGCATGGCTGGACATTAAAAATCTGTTGGATAGAAATTTCAGCCAAGCAAATAGTGCAATTGGCTTTGTCAGTACTGGCACTAGATCCTTTTCGCCGGTTCTTTGGTCTATAAAAAGAAATAATAATTTAAAAATAGCTTAATGTAATAATAACAAACATAATTTTTGGAAGATAAACAAAAATATTTCGCAATACCTGGCAGTGGGAACACTCCAAGAGTTAGGAGGTATGTCAGGAGGTGGACCGCTTCCATTGCTGCTGGAGTAACCATGTTGATTATTCTGATTGTGTGAATTATCAGCGAACATGTAGTACAAAATAGTAGCCAGGCCAACACCAACCACGAAAACAAATGCCATCCCCGGGTATGTCATTTTGCCGAGCACTTTTATCAATCTCCTGATGACAGAGATGATGACGATTAAAAATATGACAACTGGGATGAATAAAAATACTGACTTGTTGACTAAAAAATGATTTTTTGAGGCTCAGACAGACGGGTGGCATCCATTCAACGGAATAATGTCACGGTGATAATAAAATTTATTAAAAAAACATGTAGATGGGGGAATCACACAGCACTATTAATACTTGTTGTTGTTATTTACTTTTTTTATTCGTAAACTCTGTGGTACTGACGGAACTGATAGTCCCATTGGCTATTGACATTGACTGTTATTGTTCGGTGCACATACACTGCACTTGCACATACACTACACAGCACATCATAATAATGCTAATAATAATAATAATAAAGTAAATAATAATACGAGAAAGGGGAGTAAGGAGCACTATATTAGATTACACCAATAAACATTTGTGGTGTTGTAACTGACCACGAAACTTGTTAACTTGTTCTGTTCTCCGGGGTTCGCAACTGATGATAAAAAATTTCACACCGTGTTTTTTTGTTTGACCAACAGATGGCGGTAGTGCTTGAAGACAATATAAATTTCATCTTTGTTGTTTGTCATCTTCGTTACGCGAAAAAATTTGTTAATTTGTAATTTTTTAATTTATACAAAAATTTTGTTGAAAATTTTTTTTTTGTATATTATTATTAAAAAAAATAAAATAAAATTAAAAAAAATAAGACTGCTGAGTTTTCATTGTCGAAAGACTTTGTTCTTTTTTCAAGACAAATTTTGCCAACAATAATTAAAGTCTTCCGACAGTGAGAACTCAGCACTTTGCAAAAAAAAATTACTTAAGTCAATCACATTTTACTCTCTAATTGTTTATTTTGTTTTCAGGTATTTAATATAATAATAAAAAATTGATTTTATAAATAAATGTATGTGAAAAAATAAAATGAGTTTTTTTATTTTCCTTTTGCAAAATCTACCTTACCGACAGTAGCGAATTTTTGCGTAACCAAACAAAATTTTACCAAATGACAACAATAAACAGTTGATTTTCAATTTGTAACAATAATAAATAATCGATTAAATTTATAAGTTAATTATTTAATTATTGTTTATAATTTTATTGCGAATTTTGATTGATCTTGAATTAAAACTAAAAAAAAACTTAAATGTTTTTTTTTTTTTTTTTTTATAAACATAGCATTAGTTTTGTTTTTTTTTTTATAAAATATGACAATAAATATAATATTTATAAATAATTATTTTATTTTCACAAATAAAAATAAAAAGCTTATTGCAAATTTAATAAATAACTTATTACAAAATCAATATATAATTTAATAAAATAATAATTAAATACTTTTATCATAAGCTTTAACTTATAAATAATAAGTTAGTAACAATTTATTTTAATTTTTGTTTAATAATAAGTCTTCCGTAACAGAGAATCACAGGAGAGATCTGAGAAATTTGTTAGTTACTAAAAATGTTAATTTTGCTAGTAGCGTTACCGAACTATCCCCGTCCGCTAAGACTATTGCTACTAACTGCTTTTCCGCGCCAGGACCTTAGCGTCGCTCGTATTTATAAGGAACGCGTACCCTCCGCGGGGGGTATAGCGCTCTTAAGCTAGTATATCACGGCTATTATGAATATTAAATAAAGGGAACATAAGCTATTAATAACAAATGATATATTATATCATTAATAAATAAATTATTTTAATATCACCAAGAAGTATATTATACTTCTAAATCTCATTAAATCAGTCCAATACCCGCTTTTTAGTGGGTATTATAAATCATGTATATTAAACGCCTATGGTGATACTTATGTCGATTTACGCAAATCAACTTTACCGAAAGCGTAAAAATATGCCATTATAAAAAGGTGATTGAATTATAAATTTAATAATGATGCGAAGCACATTTATTAAAGAAGTTAACGAGGTAAAAGTGATAGCACGTGATAATAACTAGAATTTTTGTAAACAATTAATTTTGAGAACGCTACAATCATCACGGGTCGATGTCTTTGACTGAATGGCTCCTTATGTGGTGCATGCTCGTAGAGCTTGAAAAACTTGAGACTAAAGTTCATTATACACTTTAATCTCGAATGTAAACAGAGTATTGACTTCCTTGATTCCGAGCACGCGGAAGGGTTTTTTTTTCCCTTGTCCCGCCCCGTAACCATCGGTTACATAACGCTTATTACCAATCCACATCTTTGATGTGTCGTACTATTATATTTGAAATGAGGAATTGACGGAGGGCAGGCCACAGTAGAAGAGCCCGCCTATGGACTCTTTGAAAGAAAATGTAACGACCCAGATGTTTGCAAATTAGTAAGATGACGTTACTAATACAGTTACATTGAGTCCGGGTCATGCTGCGACAGGTTTCATCGAAACCCGCAGTCAGATCAGTTATTATATTTTTGCCTCTTGGTGGGTCGAAAGGCCGTCATCGGTGTGTTAACTCTCACCTTAGATGTCTTGATTATATTTGTAACTGCTGGATGACTGAGATCCAATATGACAAACTTGTGGCTTGAACGAAATGAAACATTACGTCGATATTATAAAACACATGTATGTGCTTGTGCAGACACCTGATTTAATAATTAATAAATAAAATAAATAAATTTAATAAATAAAGTCGATAGAAAGAGACTGCCAGGTCTTAATCACAGAGATTAAACAGAGCAAAGTGAAACCACGAATGAGAAAATAAAAGAAATTAGCACACCGACAAATGGATCCGTTGGTTGACAAAATAAAAATCATTAAATTAAAGGTTGTCATATGCACAAGTCTTGCAACATAACGAATGTTATAACACAAGCAATGGGTCTTAATTTGCCATCAACGAAGATCAACGAAGAGTAGTTACTGGTGGTCATTATAGAGTTAACATATTGGTGGTGGCCCACCATGGGGCCTGTCGGATCTTGGTGGACCTCGCAAGGGTAGCCAAGACCGAACTTTGTTCAAGAGAGACACGCTGGAGTTACTCAGTAGCGCAGCCTATACTGTGTACCCTCTTCGCCGGAGCTCTCGCGATTGAAACTCGATTATCCGAATCTTGAGGAGGAATAGAGAATAGCGTACTCCTCGCACTTTACTACTTATTATATGGGGATTGATATCCCAAACTCAAGTGCAATTTTTTTGCATTATAAATTATATTGAGGCACTAATGTGCAATTATACAAGGGAAAAACGGCAGTGTTCCACCATAAATATAATTTTTGGTGGAACCTCCTGCAAATTTGATTATATTACCGTAGTGCGTTCCATCCTTGAAGCAAATCGTGGTGGTTCGTGCTACAAACTCATCAGCGTATCCACCCTAAGAGTAATTTGTGGTGCGCATCTGGCCGTTCGCCCATGTCGTGGGGTTCCCTTGCGTAGGGGCCCCGAGACGATCATGGGATCCTTATCCCTACCTATGTCCAAACTATCAGCAATCAAAGGGAATATAGTTTGTGTTAGCCCCGATGGTTGCTGCTTTAATCCGAGCATGTTCCATCTTCTCGATGGTCATGGATCCTAAATTGGCTTATGCCATAAAAAATTACCCACCGTAATATACGCTTCCATGTATATAGGTGATTATTAACTGACTAAACTGCACTTGCACATTTATAATGTGTAAGCATGCGATCGGGCGTGATATTATAGCTATATTCCACACTTGTGTGGGCGCCTGGGTATTCGATTCAAAAATTGGCGCCATGTGTGGATGGTGTCGCCACTGATTCGCCGTTTTCTCTTGGTAATAGTGTACCTCGAGTTAGAGGTATCATCAATTGCAATAAAAGATTCATCTTGTGCATTTTCCAAATGGAAAAATGTAGCAATTGTTGGATATCATTTTTTTTTTTCAAAGTATTGAAAGCAATACGTTTAAAATTTAGCAATATCAATGGAATGGTACTTGGAAATTTTTTTTTATTTTCAAAACTTAAGTTTGTTTTTTTTTTATTCTTTTTAAAAGCAATACGTTTAAAGTATGGTAATATGAAATGAAAGTACACATTTTTTTTTTTTAAATAATGTGTTATTGTATATTTATAATTTTTTTTTAAATCCTAAGGTAAAAGCCCCAATAGATGATCACGTACCAGTATATGATCATCTATTGGGGCTTTTTTTACCTTACAACTAGTTTAAAATTTATAAGCCAATGACTGGAAGATAGATAAATTTTTTAAATTACATATAAGGTAAAATATCCTGTAACCACACCAGTTTTTTGAACAATAGATCATACATCATGAATCGGCATTATTACCCCAGAAAAATGTTGAGTAAATTAAAGAAATTCAATATCTGATAATACTTGGTCTGATTATTGGAGTCTCACTGACTTTTCATTCGCGATTTTATCAGAGTGCTCCTTTTAAGAGCAAGTACAACTGTTCCCGATTGTTATATCGGGTGAATGTGAAACGTGAATATGTACACAGAGTCTGATTAAAAGTTATCACGTGAGAGGTGCACACAAGGCCGAAGAACACCGAGAACCTCCAGCCAGAAATATAAAACAAAGACAAAGAGAAAGAGAAAGAGTAAAGAGTAAAGAGAAAAGACTCGGTGAATTTCACCCAAGTATTCAAGTATTAGGTTTATCGATCTCCAAGCGCTCTTGGCTCTTAGCTCTTACCTATATATACACCAACATTATCACCGCGAATATAACTCCTCGCATACTATAAGTAACCAACAACTGAGGCCTGTCAAGTTCATGACATAAACTCTCTCAAAAACAATTACATCCTTCAAATAAAACTACCCCAGCATTTTTTATTTATAAGAATATTTAAGTTATCTCTTCCGGGAATCTTTACTATAAATGTAACAACCATTCATTAGTCCTCATAAATACCTATACATTGATTGAATTTTTTTTTTAATCTTAAATTAGCTTTATTAACTTTTAATAAATTATTTTTTTAATTTTAAATATTTTTTTTTTTTTTTTTATATATAATTTTATCTAAAAAAATAAATTAACAGTTAAAAAATATTTAACCAAAATTAAATAATCAAAAATTAATAGTTATTAATATATAAACTCTTTATAAAGTGTCTTGATATAGCTAAAAAAAACATCTATTAATATATACATCTTCCATACAGCAGTAATCAATTGAACATAACTATCTTTCATAGTCTTTTATCCTCGGGGATTTCGTAAAAGCGCATGACCGTGGGAATTACAGAGGGAGGATACATCCCTTTGTCGATTATTCTATTAGTCTCTATCCAAAAGATTTAAATACAATTGTTCTTTCTTCTTGATATTATTCTCGTCCCGATATATTTATAAACCGAACTGTTTTAATATTTCAACATTCGCTCTATTAATATCTCTACACATTTAAACACGCCAGCTCCAAAAAGTTCCTTTACAACCTCAATTTCAAAAAGAATAAACTTTTTAAAAATCAAAAAAACTGTCTAGAGAAGTTGCCAGATAATTTTTCAATCAAAATTTGCAGTTAGTTTTATTTTCTTGATAATAACTTTAGCATCGGCTCTAAAAACATGACCTTGTATTGACCGTGGTGGTCGGTCACAAGGGAACCGGGCCACTCGTGCGGTATCGATTGACACCGCGCGAACTTGACACGTGAAAGAGCAAGTGTTGTAAAGTTACATTCAAAGTTTCCTAATTTTCTTCGATAATTATTAATAAAATAAACAAAAGTTTGCTATTCTCACCATTAGAATTTTCTTCTTTGGAAGAATAAAAATTATTTCCCTGAATTTTATTAATAAATTGAAAGACTCCAGAGCGAATTGTTTATATGTTAGTAGTTCCATTGAGAGAACTTGGACGGGAATAATTAATTAATTTTATGATAAGAGGCGCAATAATGGCCATGGTAGATGCTGATGGTAAAGTAATGGTGATGAATTTGATAATTGTCGGCGTACTTGAGGATAAAATAGCGTAATAGTAACTAAAGTGGTGACGACAAACATTGGCCAACACCTTCTATCGCAGAGCAGTTGTACCTCGCCGCCGATATTCATCACCAGAACAACAACGGCGCCGTGAAATGTCGCGACGTTCAGTCTGCCGGCGTCATTCGTCGATGTTTCTACTCGTTTTCCACCCGTGACTACTTACTTGGACTGTAACTGTGTGTGTTCAATAATTCACTCTTATTTTTTCACTGTGAACTTGACTTCTAATGCATAATATTACAGTATAACAGTTATATCATATTATTAAATAATAAATTATCACTTTGACATTTTATTTTTTGTATTATTTTTACGCATAATCTTGTATTGATACTCAGAATCGTTCTAATTATTTTAATTGTTATCAATCAGTTTATCTCTCTCTCTTGAAAATATATCATATATTCCATTAATCTATATTAATTACTGTGGTTTTATTTTCTATATTTCTATATTATTATCTATTGATAATAATATATACAAGTGTATTGTTATTCAATTTTGATATTACCTCTCGATGACATAAGTATGAAACCTTATATTTATATTTCCTAATTATTTTGTATTGATCAAAGAAATTTTTTTGTGTTACGTAATTTTTATATTTTTTTTTTTTTTTAACACAAAAATTTTTAAATTAAATTTTTTATTTTTTAATTTATATAATTAAATATTAAAAAAAATTTCTACCTCAATAAATATTTTATTTTTTAAATAAAACTAAAAATTCATCAGATATTTTTACTGCTTTAAATATCATAAAAATTGTTCTACATATAAAAAAATAATAATGAGTACTTGGCTTTTTAAAAGCATATCCTTTTTATTTTCCACCATCGAGCTGCATTCACACCACCCGATTGATTTTCAACAAAGATAAGAGAATATAAGAACCGCTCAATTAATTTATTTTAACGAGAAATGTAGTTCCGTTCTGATTGATAGCATTTTTCCGATAATACTATAATTCAGTCGAGTCCTCCTTCAGGAACAGGATCGTTTTACAAATGTATGCGTGATCAATAAATCGTTAAAATCTTTCATTTACTCGAACGTAGTTGAATCATAAGCCCAGAGTAAAGTATGTACTATAAAAAAAAAGTTATGTAAATACATTAAGAGTTGACGGCCATTGTGATATTATAATCCAAGCTAATTTTTTCATCAATTACTTTGTCAATTACCATTAAACTACTCTAAAGTGCTGGGTAAACCAATACTTTAAGTATTCATTATATCTAAACAGGGCTTAAATAATTTAGAAATCTAATTAATTCGACTACGCGTACATTTAATTAAATACCCGATTTGTAATTATAGAGCGCCAATTAGTTGAATGAAAAAAAAAAAAAAAAAGATTTATTTACATAACAACTCTCTTTTTGTACTAATTGGACAATATGAATGATATATTTTCAATGATAGGAATAATAAAAATGATAAAAATAAATAGTGGATTTTTATAAAATTCCAAAAATAAATTATAATTGTACAGGTACCAGCATCACGAAACTTGATTATATTTTATCAAGGGCAATTTCTTAGGATCAATATTATCAAGAGAACGATTTTAATATTTAACACATGTTATTTTTGATAGTAATCACGTTTGTAAATATTATAATTCAGGACTATTAAATCAGCATAACTTTCGTTTATTTTAAATAATCATTTTATTTTTTTTTTAACCTCGCTTCAAGGAACATTTTTAAATGTTTACCCTACAGTTTACGGATCAAAGATAACGAATACTAAAAAAATTACCGAAATACCTTTGACGAATTTTCTAGGTCAAGATACCTAAATAATAGGGATGTGCGAATATCGTTCGAATCGAATCGAATCGAATCGAATATTGATATTCGATTCGAAATTCGAACCGAATAATTCGAATTTTCGAATTAATCAACATTCGACGAATAATTCAAAACTTTTCGAATTATTCGTAATTTTTCGAATAATTCGAATAATTCGAAAATTCAAATTATTCGCACACCCCTAATTTTAAACTCTAATCTAGTTAACTCTTGATAAGTCTTGATAAGACTTGATAGCATAGCCACGCGGACATGTAAAAATGGAAACTCTAAATTTATTTTTCCAAGTTACTAATCTAATCAACGGTTTGGCCTAAAATCCTTTGTAGAGAATGTGAAAACGATTCGATTGGTACATAAGAACGATTAATAATGAACTTATCGACAATTTCAAATACGGGTGTGCGAATATCGTTCCAATCGAGTATTGATATTCGATTTGAAATTCGAATCGAATAATTCGAGTTTTTGAATTAATCGAAATTCGACGAATAATTTGAAAATTCAAATTATTCGATTCGAATATTAATATTCGATTCGAAACGAATAATTCGTAAGTTCGAATTATTCGCACACCCCTACTAAATAAATAATACAAATTTCCGTCGAATCTAAACAATAATAATCTTACAAAAAAAAAAAAAAAAAAAAAAAAAAAAAAAGACAATGTATAATTTATAATGACAGGATATAATTTGAAAAATAGGTGATTTAATCGCAATGAAACATAACAAGAAGAAAGTACTTTTTATGAGGACTAGTATGTGGAAAAGGCGAAACATAATGATGATTATGACAAATGAGTAAGCGAATGACCGTTTGGATGATGATATTTGGCTAATGGCCGTGCCTCTGACATCGGTAATGAGTTTAGACAGCGAATAAACTCACAAAGCGATGTCTGAACAAGTCGCCGTGGATTCCCACCGGACAGAGAGACCACTTCCGGGGAATGGGTTATCACCGCGAAAGAAGAAATCAATAACGACAATTGAAAAAATAAAATCCTTTGTAAATTTATTTGGAGACGATGAAAGACAGCAATCAGCGTCAAGCTCTACGTATGGAGCTAGAAAGTGAAAGATCCTCGTCAAATGAAGAGGTACACCTTAGAAATGATTACAGGAGTACTTTTTCCGTTGATACTGACGACATAATAAGCTATCTCGAGACAACATTCATAAACCAAGTGGTGATTGAATATGACAATAATTACAATATTAACATAAAAGAAGACGCCGAGGACAATGACAACTTGACCGCTCGGGACTTTATAGGTCCAAATATAATAATAAACAACAACAACAATAATAACATTAACAGCAACGGCAACAATAATGACAACAACAGCAACTTTTTTTCATCCCTCGTTGTAGTTAAAGGTATATTAATGGTTATTATTATAGTTACGGCACTCTTTGGTAATGCACTAGTTATCGCAAGTGTTAGAAGACACCGCAAGCTCCGTGTACCGACAAATCGGTACGTGGTGAGTCTAGCAGCCGCTGATTTACTGGTTGCTATTTGTGCAATGACATTTAATGCCTCGGTTGAGCTGTCGGGAGGGAAATGGCTTTTTGGGAGATTTATGTGCAACGTGTGGAACTCTTTTGATGTATACTTCTCAACTGCCTCCATTCTTCACCTTTGCTGCATCAGCGTTGATAGGTACTACGCGATTGTTCGCCCCCTTGAGTATCCAGCTATTATGAAGAATATTGTCGTGACAGCGATGCTAACTAGTGCTTGGTTACTTCCTGCGTTCATCAGCTTCATTCCTATTTTTTTTGGATGGTACACCACTCCAGAGCACCTTGAGTATCTCAAGGAACATCCTGAGGTGAATTTTATTAATTATTTAGACATTAATAAAAAAAATTGGAAGAATTTTAATCAAGCCAATTTTTTTTTTATTCAATATTTATTATCGTACTAGAGAAGAATATGACTTATTGTTCACATAATTTTATTTAAAGACAATATAAAAAAAAAAAAAAAAAAAAGGTTTTTTTTTCATCTATTTTTCCCGTATCTCCGGTCCTTTAGATAAAATCCCTGATTCATAAAATAAAAAAATAATTTTCAAGAATTTAGAGTTAAATTATGGATGAAAATAACCCTTGTCACTTTTATCGTACCTATGATCCCTTGAGCGGAATGTAAATTCAGAGTTGAGCAAAAAATTTATTAAACATTCAGTTTAATGAAACAATAATTTGTAAAAGTTTGAAACCTAAATTCCGGGGAAAATATTGAAGGGGAAAAAAAAATATATATATAATACATAAGAAAGTAAATCTTTTATGTGGAAAATGATATTTTTTTTTATCGAAAAGTTTGTCGTGTCTCATCCTTTAACAATCCTCGATCCATTTTCACACCTCAAGTGTACATTTATCATAAAAAAAAATACTGTATACATTAGCGTCAGACACCCACCAATTATTCAATTTGAAATAAACCAATATTTTATTATGTAAATACAAACAAAACGTGATAGTGAAAATTTATCTGTTTGTATTTTCATAAGCAAATTGAATATATATTTTCCATAAACATTAATATTAATATTAATATTTTAAAATGTTATTGGTATTATAGGTATGTGTTTTTGTGGTGAACCGCCCATTTGCACTGATAAGTTCCTCGGTGTCATTTTGGCTTCCCGGACTGGTGATGATAATAATGTACTGTAAAATATACAAAGAAGCAGTGAGACAAAGAGAAGCCCTTAGCCGAGCTTCCAGCAACACCGTGCTCAATAGTGTTCATTTACACCGTGTGTCAACCTCCCGACACCGATCGAGAACTTCTCACCAGCTTCTCCTCCAGCCTACTGAGGATTTTCGCGTGAATGGCGGAACCTGGTGCAACACAGCAGCTATCGAGTTAAATTCCGACAATGGTAATTTAAAATAAATATTTAAATTAATTATTACTATTATAGGTTTGATGGATTTGATATAGGACAGGGATAAAATAAATCAGAGGGAATAAAATAAAATAAAATAAAAAGAAAGTGGGTGTTATGTTTTATCGTTCAGGTCGTGTAGGGACACCAATATCAGACAGTAACATATAGCCGAAGCTGAATAGAATAGAATAAGATAAAAAGGGGTTGTATAGGGTATACGGGGCTCGGTTAGTGTAGGTCAGTGAACGCGCTTGATCCAGGCTCCAACACCGGTAATACACCTATCTACTACCCGGGATTTACTCATCCTCTTCAGCTACTGGTCCTCCGCCGCTCGATATTGGAATACGGTACACGTAGTAACCGAGGAACGTCAACGAGACTGCGTGTTAAATTCAATATTTTTTTCCTTTTAAACTTTTTTTCTATTGATATATACGCCGAGAACCCGACAGCTCTTTTATTTTACTCCGTAATTAGTTTATCAAAACACGGCTGCGTCTCGCGCGAACTCCAATAAGGAAACCTGGAGACAACTTGATTTAAATTTTTAATTAATTTCAGAAAATCCAATCATCCCAATTACCAAAGCAATATATGTTTACCATATTTCCCTTTATATCATCAATATTGTAATATTGCTAATTAGCAATAAATAAAATCGTACATGTCACTTTGAATTTTGAAATCAGGATAATAATAGAGCTTATTAATTATTGATGGTGAAATTGACAATTATACTTGAAACGTAATCACTTGACCTGTAAATTAACTGAAGAGTATATTTAAAAAAGGTCAAGGACTTTAGGTCGAAACGAAATTATCAATAACCATTTGTATTATAATTATAATTTAATTCAAATACTAAATCAATATCTTAGTATGATTTTCCACGGTATATTTATTTTTATTATTATTATTATTATTATTATTATTATTATTATTATTATCAGTTGACCCGACAGATATTGTTCTGTTTATAAAAGTACTGACAGATGAATTCATGTTCCACATTTTTTTTTCAAGATTATTGATTTTTTTTCTAATATAAGCTGATGTTTCAAACAATTATTAAATTAATTTTTAATTTTGCAGGTACGACAATACGCCAACAAACAAAAAGTTGGCGAGCTGAACACAAAGCCGCAAGGACTTTGGGAATTATTATGGGGGCATTTCTTCTTTGCTGGCTTCCCTTCTTTATCTGGCAAGTAAAATTATTAGATAAATTTTTTTTTTTTATTTTTTCAATTAGCTTATTGTTGTTTTGAGGGTACACAAAAGAAAAGATAAACTGGTTGACGTGATATCTTGAGTTCAAAATCCATATCTGATTGCTTTAAAATTCGGTATCAGCTTTCAATCAATGTTCCGGTGACCCTATTACTTAATAAAATACAAAAGTATTTTAGAAAAAATAAAAATTGAATTTTAAAAATATTTTTTTTACAAACAATAATTACAATATTTGGTGTGTTTTATTATTTTCCAGGTACTTGACAACGGCACTGTGCGGTGAAGCATGCGACTGTCCTGACGCAGTGGTTTCAGTTCTTTTTTGGATCGGGTACTTCAACAGTGCATTAAATCCTCTGATATATGCATACTTTAACCGTGACTTTCGGGATGCGTACAAGGATACTCTGAAAAGTGCATTGCCATGTTGTGCTAGCTGTTGGAAAACGCCCTCAGACTTTCTATAGCCCGAACAGCACTCGCGCTCGCGCGGAATGACTTTGTATTCGGTGCAATTGCAAACCAACAATAACAATAACGATAACAATTAATTGCGCTGATAATATTGTTATATACATATAAAATGTCACAAACGCAAGGCTGCTTTATTAAATAACAAAATAATAATCTAAGATATAAAAGGATAAGTAACTAAATCCATTATAAATATTATAAATAATACAATATGATTGAGAGAACAACCATCGTCAATAGTTTAATGTTTTAAGCTTTTATAATTGTGTTACTGATGATAATACTAGTTGAGTAATTAGTTTTTAATTATTTATTAACCAAAGCGGTATCGAATTAGCCAAAAGTTTACGCTTTTATATATACAGCACGTATGAAATATACACTATTTAATTAAAACAGGATGGTTTAATTTAATTCGGGTTGTCCCGAAACAAGGGAAGAAAGGATAGATTAGAGAAAATATGTGATGATGATGATAATTATTAATTATGATGGTGGTGACTAAATACTTCATATCAAGACGTTAGATAAATTTATTGAAGAAATTATATATGATATATGATATTATTGAGCTAGAAAATAATCGCTAATAATGTAAGAATATATATATATATATATATATATATATATTACTGAATAATGAAAATGTAAAAAGTAACATAAAGCAATAATGTTAAATGTATATAAAATTATTATCGATGAAGTAATGATAATGATCGTACTGGCCTACAATGATATTGTTATTTTCTTTATTTCTTATTTATATTAATTGTTCTTCAGCTCTGCAAACTTGGCAAGTAATGTAAATAAAATACTATGTAAATGTTTTAAATAAATGTCGTAAAAAGTATTATCCTGATATACTTCAATAGATTATCAAATTTAATTGTATTAAATATAAATGTTATGTTGAATTAAACTTTTGATTTATGGACTTACTTTTTCATTTATATTTATTATAAAATATATATATTACTTAAAGATATCAAGTTAGGACTCTCTTATCGGCAACTTTGAAAGCAACTTTGCCGGGGCGGATTTCGCTTCAGCGACCGCTGACAATGCCGCACTTTCTTCTCTGTACAGAGCAATTTTACCACCGGAGACGGCAATAACTTCGGAAATGGGAATTCAAAACTTTCTGAGAGTTTTTAAACTTTTTTTTTTTGTAATTTATAGATATTTTCCAACAATTGCAATCAACCAATTCTAATTTTCAATTTTAAAAAATTCCTAAGCCATTTATTTAATTTAATTAAGTCAAAATTAATTAAAATAAAAATTAATGTCAGTAAAACTTCTAAAAACAGCGAAAAAAAAAAAAAAATTTTTTTACTTCAATACTTAATCTCTAAAAATTAACTCTTTGGTAGCGAGAAAATTGAGCGGCCATGCGCCACCTGTTGGATTTTTTTGATTAACTATTTTTTTAATTAATGTAATAAACTAGGTAAAAATCAGTTTTAACATCTTGCTTTATCGTTTTATTGGTTCTATATCACTTCTTTCCCTTTGAAGGCCTTTTTTAAAGACCTCTATATGTCAAAAATCCTAAATTTTGAACCGTTTTTAATGCAATAAATAAATAAATAAATTTATTCTTCTTACTTGGCTATCGTAATAAAAACCCTTAGTTTTAGTTTCTGAGCAATAAACATGAAAAAATATTCGGCTCATCTTGTAGTAGTCTAGGTATGTGTCCGATGTATAGATGTGTGTGTTGCGTGGCACATAACCACCTTACACAAGATGCCCGCGCTCAAGGTCGCTTCATATGATATACTATATAATACTCACAATATAAATGTACAATTTGAAACCGGTTGTTTTCATCATTACCCAATTATTTAATATTGTTCGAAACATGTATCACTTCTAAAAGCCAAATCCATCATATTTTAAAAACTAGCCGGTCTCATATTATATACGTATTAGGAAAATCAAATTTCATTTTGTTAACTGCGGCTCCCTTATGAAAGCAACCGTCAAGCGCAATTAAAGATAGATATTAAATATAAATAATTATTTTCAATTCTCAATAAGATATATATACAATTTTTTTTCTATTTCATCAGACACATCACGATAATCCGTAGCCTTGACCTGTTGGAAAAAAATTCAACCACAATTCTCAATCTTGAATCCTCTGTAAAACTGTACGGTAGCCTTGAATTTAAAATAATTACTGTATAATGGCTATAAATTATATGCTAAAATATACATGTCTATAAATACGCAAGGTATAATTTATGGTTTATTGTTTTATAGATGGAAAATAATACTGATACCGCAAATATTTATGGAAAAATCATCCAAGGGGCACGATATATACATTTATATACACTTTTTGTCGTTTCTTATCTCAACCGCAATAAATTTACTGGTTTTGTAATTTAAAAAACTCACTGATGTTATTATTAATATTATTATTATTTCATGGATTTTTCAGCGAACCACTCAACAAGGCGTCAGATAAAATTCTTAAACCCTGAACCTTCCTTGATCTTTTTATGTCTTTTCTTGTCTTTTCCTAGTAAGGTATTAAAATAATCATAAAGATGCGTTTAAAATATATGCGGTGTAAAAATAACCAAGGGACCCATGGAAAGATTATTTTTTTGATAATACCAATAATTCTTCACTGTATTAAGAAGAAAACTTTTATACACTTTATACACTTTATACACTTGGGGTTTTTAATAAATTATCAAGAGAAGGAAACATTTATTCGCAAATATTTTTGCTTTTTAAAATTATTTCTATGAATTAACAACAGTAATAATAATAATAATAATAATGAAAATTAAGCTAGCCGATATTTGAAAATTTTATTGAAAAAAAAAATTTTTAAATAATTAAAACAAAAATTTTAACATGTAAAAAATTTTTAAAATTATCCGTGGAATTTTTTAAAAATAGTTTTTTACTTCTAATTTTTAATTTAAAAAAAAAAAACATAAAAAATTTTTGAGTGTCGGCTAATTTAATTTTCATATAATAATAATAATAATAATAATAATAATTAATAATAAATTTTTATGAAATGTTAAGTCATTAAAAATTAAATCATTTCTTCTTTAAATGATGAATTATGTAATTAAATCATGAATGGATCACTTTTAATTTGATGAAATCAAAAGCAGAACGTAAAAGTGATAGTAACCTTTAACAAATACAGGTAAAAATTTAATTGCCGGATAAATATATGCAGCTAAAGACATAAAATAAGAATGAGAAGTTAAAAAGTGTTGGAGCAATTTAATATTAATATAAAAATATACAGTACATTAATATAGAGTAACCCCGTCCCCTACCGGGAGTAAACTACTATATCACTACGACTCGTGCCGCCAACCGATTTCGATTTGCCGTTGCAGTCATTGTCGGTCCTCTTGGTGAGCCGCAATCGCACCGAGACACTCTACTGATCGAGCAAGGCTGTGCGTAAATAAAAACACTCTATATTATAATAAAAAACAAATTTTATTGTACAATGTTAATCAGTGAGTAATTGATCTGTTCGATTAAAGTTTCATGTGACTAAACAATATCAATCGTTAGATTTTACTCGTTTTAAAATGTTCGGATGTCTAACGGTGGATAAAAAAATTTATAATTGTTGTTATTTCAGTAAATTTATTAAAAATTTATTATCTGAATAAAAATAATAAATTTGAATGTTAAAAATGGAGATAAGGTCATTTTGAAAAGTAAGTTGACATTTTTCTTCGCTATTAATTTTAGAAATCGATCGATTATTCTTTTTTAAAAGTAGATTAGTGTAACAATTGATCCAACCAGTGATTTTGCGATCTATTATTATACCATTGCAATTTTTTACATTTCTTCGGAATAAAGCTTTTGAATGCGTAGACTTGTAAGTATTTATTGGAAAGGAAATTTTGTGTCTTATTAGATATGCATGATAAAACATTGGAGAAAAATTTAGTCTAATATTATTATTATTATTTTCATTTATTGCCGTTGTTAGTTTCTTGTTGATACTGATAGAGAGAGTTGAGTTTAAAAAACAGAGATCAATATTATGCAAGAAAGTAACTCTCTGGTATAGTACTTTGTTTAAATATCATAATAATATTATCGGTTAATTATGTAAAACTTTTTATTACATCTTACCAACTCACTTATTCAATTAAGTAATAATTTATTTATTCATTTATTATTAACTCAGACTAACATTTATATTAATTTATAAATAAACATTGGCTCATCTTCGTCAATATTGTCGCTAGTTATTGTTTTTTCACAAAATAATAACAAAACTATTTTGTAAATATTGTTTTACTAAATACAGTTAGTCAACACTGATGAATCAGAAGATAAAAATGTGCTTTAAATAAAAAAAATAGTGTAAACATTATACAAATGAGTTTAAATATCACGAATGACGTTTTCTTCTTTTTCCAAACAATTTACAATTTTTTATTTTAACAATTATTAATTATTAATGTAAAATTTTTGAAAAACAGACAATATCTGACGAAAAATTTTCCAGACCAGACAGTTTAGCGTCATCAGCTCTTTTAGCAGAACAAACGTCAGCAATTTAGAACTTTTTTTTTTGCATAAATTATAGGTCAAAAAAAATCATGCAGAAAGTCATCTGACAATTTTTATTTTTTTATTTAAATGCAAAAATTTCAATAATCTAATTGTTATAAATAATAATAATTATTATTTTTATTTTGAAGATAAAATAAACTTGATTGAATAAGTGAAAACTAAGAGAAAAAAGACATTAACAATATTGAATCATCTTATAAAAGATTATTGTGTATATTATTATAAATTTGCTAGTTAAAGTCAGTCAATGACCCATCGCAAAACAACTTTTATTTGATTGGAACATGAGGAGAGAGATAAAACCAATATACAGATGTAATCTCTGTATAGTAGTGGCTATGGTTATATTAGTCGCGATGGCGTATAATAAAAGAACAGAGATTAACGGAAATGAAATAAACTAATATGATCCGGAGGGGCTCGATATTTCAGTCATCATTATCAATTTTCTTCATGCTCCATGTCTCGTCACGCGATATTTACTCCTATCCAGTACTAATACACACTGACATATTATTTTATCCTTCCCTTTTAGTATTTTTTTACCCGACGGCCCTTCTATTAAATAAACAATCACATATATTTTATCAGACTGGGATTAATTTATTCAGCTTCATTGCTTTCATTTGATAAGGAAATTTAAACAAGTATGCGACATTCTAGAGCGTGTTGGTGTTACTTAATAGAAATCTCGATAAATATGCATAGGAATATATTTATCAATATATTATTAAATTTTTGATTGCAGAAAATGTGTCAAATTTAATGACCACTTGGAAATATATTTTCTTTGATGATAAATTTATATATTAAAAATTATTAAACCTTTTTTTTTTTTTTTTTTTTTTTATCATTTGTATCTTCTTTTGTAAGAAAATTTAAAATTAAATTTTTGGATAATAAAAATAAAATTAAAATAAAAAAATGTTGATCAATACCGAAGCAATAAAAATTTATTATTGACATTAAAATATAATAGTGAAAAAAAAAAGAAATTTGAACTTTTTACTCAGAAATTAATAACGGAGCATTGTACTAAAAGTATTGGTAATCGTAATTGGTAATTGAACATACAAAAAACGTATGTCCTCAGTGTTTACAAATTCATGTCAAGGTCCCACTACTAGTAGAATCATGTTAATCGAATAACTTGCATCATTTACAGATACTTATATACTCAAATAACAAGTTTTACGCGTTGTACATATAAATTCACCGAGAGGCCGAGAGCGAGTTTGTCAGTTTTGACAAAAACTATCGATAGAAAATTTTAAATAAATCCGGACAAGCTTTTATTTGACAAAACAACTCTCTCAATACTATTAAAGGACAGCCGAAGAAAGTTTTTCCGATCTGGGCAATTATCTTCTAATCAAAACTCGTCTGAATAATTTTAAACTTTGGAAAAATAATTAAAAATAAGAGAAATATACTGTAACTGGATACTGTAATAGGCAATCTCCAGTTGCGATATATAAAATAAATAATTAAATGAAAATGAAGTTTAATTTATAAAGAATAGAGATATGATGACTGCATGAGAAAAAATATAACGAGTATAGATGCTTTCGCTTATGTTGCTAAATGTTACTGGGGCAACACTAAAAGACGGATAGTGTATTTAGAAAGGTTCACTTTTAGCGTCATTACTAATTTTAAATATAAATATACAAATTAAATTTAACATTTATTCAATTATTCTGATTAAAAAAAAGCTCTTATTGCTTTTTATTGTATTGATTGTAATTAATAATTGCATTAAATTATTTTAAAAAGGAATGTACACCTATTGCTATTATTTTTTTATAATACACCTGGAACAATGATACATAGCTTCCAACAAAGATAGATCTTTATCTTTAATCTTGTTGTATAAACAATAAACTTACAAAACAACAACTCGTGACACAAATACGTTTTTTTTTTCTTTTTTTCTTTTTTTTTATATAATTCGATACAGTATGGTACAACTTAAATTGCATATCCGGTAGATAGACACTTAGACCAATCTTAACACATTTTAGAGCTGATAGTGATACATCAGCATTAGCAGGATCGTTTTTTTGTGGCGACATCGGCGTATACCCTATCTAATGGTTGCTAGTTATAGTTTTAACATTATTTTTTTTGTCTAAGCGATAATCTAACCACTGTATAATAATATATTAATGCGTCACTATGATTATACAACTCATGACACATTTGTGTTATAATTATATCTAAATATATGACATTGTGACCTTCCTTTCCGGATTTCAGTTTGTATAAGCGGAAAAAACTGTATCAGAAAATATTTATTATCTCAGCTTGAGAATTATTTTTAATAAAATTTACTTTCCTTTTAATAAAAAAATTTTTTTTTTAATTCTGAAGAAATAAAATAAAAGACCCAATTATTAATACTTAATAATTAAATAAATAAATTAATAAATATAATTTTTGAATTTTAAATTTAAAAATAATTGATTTATTGAGAATAATTTATTTTTTTAATTAGAATAAAATTGCAATTGTCAATAAATTAGGCCAGTTTTAATTACTGGGTCTTTTACCTTATTATATCAATAATTATAATATAAAATAATAATATTCTTTTGTTATTATTGTTATAGGTAGATGAAAATCATTAATTAATGACAACCAATAAAAAGTAAATGTAATAAAAAATAAAAAATAAAATAACAGGAATGTCGTTGTGATAAATAAGATTTTAAATGGTGAAAAAAGGTGAAATGTATAAAGGTACTAATATAAAGGTGGTTGTTTGTCTGTTGACATTCCTGCTAATAATCACAACAAAGATTAAAATAACAGAGCAAGCTGAAAAAGAGAGAGATTATTCAGCGATTCCAAAAATAGGCGGCGCAGTTAATATATTCAGTCGTTATGGTTATTTGAGCATAAGTATGCGAGTGGTGCCAAGGAATGACTCCGACACATGGATATTCCGAGAGCCAACGGTGGATGTCTTCAACAAGGTGATAACAGCCCCACCAAGGGTTAAGAGTAAGGCAACCGTGTTTGACGGTGATTTCCACATGGAGTTCTGCGACAATGTAAGACAATTGCTTCAAGCTTACTTCAGAGATTTCACGTTCGAGCGGATGGACAGACCTTGGAGGGCATTTACCGGAAGTTGGTCGGTCGCGACTATCGCAAGACACCTCGGTATAAATGCCTCTTTCATAACTCAAGATCACTGCTACGTGCTTGTGAGAGTCGCCAGGTACCGGGAGAACAAAAAACTCGCCGGGACTCCAGATAGTAGTCTAGTTCTTGATCAAAGCGTTACCAGAGAGGCGGATAATATAACAGTCGGCGACACTGCTGGTACTATCAAGTTCATCAGGAACTTTGGCTCACACTACATCGCTTCCTTCGTCACCGGCAACTCGCTTTACCAGGTACGGAGCTCATATTTATAAAACTCAAATAAAAATATTATTAATAAACTTGTTCCAGGTCTTCGTTTACACGCCTCAAGTGTACCAGCGGATAAAAGAGCGCCTGAAAACGCGTGGCGTAGCTCAGCTGTCAAGTGTCGAGCTCAGCAACTTTTTCTCCCCGTGGTATGCCGAGCATATGGGAACTATCCAGTCCGCGAGCGGAAATCACTCTGTCGAGGCTTGGGCTGTTGAGAATCTCCGGGTCCAGTACTACTTTTTCACCTACCCGAGCCTTCTTAAGCTCCACGGTGATGCTGAATTGCTCTACCAGCTGGATGATCTTCTCGGGAATGAAGCGCTTTTGCAGTTACACCTGAAAACACTGTCGCCGCTGTTCAAAGACACGCAACAACGCGACTGGTTTTTAGAAGTTATCGACAATTACTTTAAGCTATGGGAAGTTAACATGTAGTATGTGATGTCTTCATCATTATTCTGTGATACTTTGGTCAATGATCAATCACTAGTATAGATATTGATTTTTTAAAAACCCTTCAACGTCATTTTTTAGTCATCTCTTTGTAATTAAGTGCTCATATATCGGATGTATTTTAGTAACTATTATTATTACAACGTATACTCTTATCCTTAAACAGTATATTAATCAATATTTATTGCGTTATTAAGTAAAAACTATTTGTTAAGATAAATCAATTAATTTCTTATCTTTTTATGCATTTATAAATACATAAGTATAAATTCTAAATTATAATAATTAAAAAACATTTTTAAGGCTGATAAGAATATTTGTATTTGAACTTTAAAAGCATAAATAGAAATTTTATAAAAATTTTATCGTTAAAATTATAAAACTAGTTTTTTTAATCTAAATTTTATTTTCCGTAGAAAAAATTATTATATATAAGAATTTTATCAATATCACATACGAACTTTTAGGACAATGTTATATACATCAACAGTAATTATAATAATAATAATTATATTATTATTATTATTATTATTATTATTGTCTGTTTAATTTAATCAGATCTCTTGAAACTGGAAAGTTGTGCGCTAGCCTGCTGATCACGACCCAATTTTCTTCCATTAACAACCAGGACGACTGGAGTTTCAACACGTATTGATTTAAAGTCAAACTCCTGAAAATTAAACCAGTTAAAAATAATAATAAGAATAATAATAATTATCTATTTATTTTTTTACTTACATTGCGAGAGTATGAGAATTTGTGATGCGTTAAAAAAGGCTCAGGAATTGCTATTGAATCACCGACAGTGACGCCGCGACCTTCGGCTAAATTATACACGGTTACTGCCAGGCAGCTGGTGTGTTCATCAACCATACAAAACGTGCTGTAATTCAATCGAATAGTTCAATTAATCTAATGAAATAAGAAAATTTTTTTCGGATAAAGTATAAAAAATTACAATGGTACTGCGTCGGTATTTTGAATCCAACAGACAACTTTACCGAAGACGACTTTCTCAATATTCAATCCTTCCTTCAAATTTTCTAGAGGCGTAAGCTCTAATTTTATTGTTTTCTCCCCGGATGTATAAGACCCATTTTTATAAGGACCCATGTGTTTTTTATCCAACGCCTGCGTCATAAAAAATGTTTAATGCAATAAAAAAAATGATTTATTAATATTTTAAAAAGAAAATAAATTTACCATAACCATTTGGTGCAGTCTTTTAGTTTTTAATCTTCCTTTCGACGATATTAAATTTTGTACGTCTTTAAGGTACTTGAGTAAGTCTTCCCATTTAGTTCTTGGCACATCCCAAGTCGGATCTAGAGAAAAAGCTCGTTCAAACGCTTCCAACGCTAACTTAAATTCTTCCTGATACTTTAACGCCTGGAATATATTTTTATTTATTCAAAAGTAATAAAAAAAATTACTTGATATAATTACCGTTGCTTTGTTGAAAAATAAATAGGGTTTACTTTTTGCTACCACATCTTTTTCCTGAAAAAAAAAAGAAAAAAAAAAAAAAAAAATCTTCTAGTATTTGTATTTTTTTTTTAATTAAAAAACAATAGATACTTACTGCTTGGACATACGCCGACATGCAGAGACGCAGAGTAGCTGGATTTTGTGCGATCGTAAAAAACGAGGCTAAGTACGCATTACCTAAAATAGTCCAAGACTGACCGTCCATAGTATCTAAAGCAACAGCTTCTTTAGCATACTCTACGCCTTGTCTAATGTTATCAACTTTCTGCCGGTGATTATCGACAGCTTCTTGCCTCAGTACCATTGATAAATTTCTTAGAGATGTTTTATTTCTTCCCTAAGTTTAAAACAATATTAATAAATATTCAAAAAGTTATTGTAATAAATCCTTACATGAGGTAGAGCACCGACGAAGCAATTTTTGGCTTGCTTAATGTCATCTTTCTTCCAATAACACTCGCCGAGCTCGTTCCAAGCGTCTATAAGCTTCGGCTCCAACTTGACAGCTTTACTTAGTAGTTCCTCGGCTTGAGGAATAAAACGATCAACTACATTGAAGGTTTTACCTTTTAAGTAGTAATACTTTGCTCTGGAACCCTCGATTTCGTATCCGTTGTACTCGTCGAATTTAGCCAGAGTTTCTTTCATTTCTCTTTCTATGTCACTGTTTTTATTAACCGCTTCTTCGATGACATGATTTTCAAAATAATGGTCCCGGTAATGATACAGTGAATCTACTTTTTCCTGAAATAATAAATTTGTCAATTCTTTAAATTATGTAAAAATTCTACATGTTAATAATTTTAATACTCCAAAATAATAAAGTGATTTAAATATTATTTTTTATAAAATAAAATCACCAGATGTCTTCCTTAATCAACAAATAAAATTACATACTGTCAAAGCAATAATAGGATCCTGTTTAATTTTACAAGGTCCTTTGGCACTTGCCACAACTTTGTCATCAATAATAGTAGACATTGCTCCCTTTGTACCCAGACTTAGTTCCAACAATAAATTTTATTTCCAGCATCCATAAACCTATCAAATTTGCAATTATAATGATTAATAAATTATTGAGTTGATACTTTCTAACTCTTAACATTTATTTATTTATACTGACACCGGGATTTACAACCAGCGATATTTTCCGCATTAAAACTATATATATATATATATATATCAAGTGAGAAATTTTAAAACTCCAGTAGAGGTCTCTACTGGAGTTGAATAATATATAAAAAAAGATTTAAAATAAATATACATTATTTGTTTAGATAAAAAATACACGGAGTGACTTTTTTGAGGATTAAAAATTTTTACTCAATTAATTAATTAAAAAAATCACAAACTTAAATTAAAAATATTTCATAGTTTGCTTTTAAAAAGTAAAAAAGTACAATTTAAAATATATTTATCAAGCCGTGACATCTTACAGGGCTTATAAAGTGCGGATATTCGTTCCTACAATCGGTATTAAAAGTCAGTGGGAGTATTTTCATGAAATAAAACGAACCATAGCGACAGCTTAGAGGTCTCCCAACCTCCCTAATCTAGTAACCTTGGTTGAGGTTGGTGGAGTTGGTGGAGTTGTCTTGAGCTAAGCAAAAGTTAGTAGTACCAGTACCAGGAGTGAGCAGCATCATCATCATCGTCAGTAGTATGTATGTCGAAGGCTCGGCGTAAGGCGTTGACCTTGTTGGTGGGTGATTCTCGCTCAGTGAGCTCGGTGTGCAAGGTGTTGTGTTGTGGTGAGGGAGCTCAAGCCGTCACCGAGCTCCTCGTCAGCTGGCTACCCGTCTTTCTCCTAAACTAACAGTCGGGCAATATGGGCAAGACACCTCGCTGACAATATTTTGTTTCCAGTCAGTGTACTAGTGTCGCTATCCCGGATTTTATAACTACCGAGCCCAGAGCCAGCTCTGCCAAACACTCTGCCAAGGATAACAACAACAACAACAATAATAAAAACAACAACAAAAATAATAATAATAATAACAAGAGTAATCGTTAGTGAGTGTGAGCGTTTGTTCGAGGGCACTCTACTCGGGAAACGCCATTTTATGTGTTTGGCTCTGACACTGGAACAACGACCACCACCACGACAACGACAACCACGACCACCACCACGGTAGTGGTACACTTAGAAACAGCTAGACACTTTTATTCTGTGTTGTGCTTCTCATTACTCCTAATTATTTTTTATTAGTGATACATACATTGATATATATATATGTTTTATAAATTTTAGTTATACATCTAAATATATATATATATATATTTATATACAAGTGTTTTGTTCTTTGTCTGCGCTAGTTAAAATGTTGCTCAAATATTCAACGCCCGACATGTATAAGTAACATTGTCGGGCCTGTCAGGGGCGGGCTTGCCGCGACAATTATTATTAATTAATTAAATTAATAAATCATTCTGGAAGTTTATTAATTAGTGGTGGTATTTTGTGTAAATTAATAAAAGTTAGTGATTTTTTAACGGGAAAAGTGTTGTGCAAACGGAGTACCAGTGGAAAGTTGTGATTTTTTTTAAAATACATATATACAGATATATGGTAATTGAATAAAACAGTAGGAGCAATAACAGCAGCTGTAGTTGGTGGATAGCTGTCACTGACATCTGCTATTGTGTAATTTAAACAAAGGCTGTTGTCATTTGTTAATTGTCAATCATAACCTCTGGATTATTACACGCTTTTTTTTTAAGGATTTACCATGAATTCCAGAAATATTCCGTCTGATAAGGTACGTACTGTTGTTTTAGATTTTTATTATATTTCCTGTTATTGTTTTTTAGGGATAGTGAGGGCTTTATCAGTGATCGTGCAGGTTTGTGTCTAATCGTGCAGGTCTTAACGTGTCCGAATCCGCCCCAGCGCGTTGCGATGTTCAATGTTGAGGATTGAGAAACACATACAGGACGACTGAATACTATAAATATTATATTTTAGTAGATGACTTGATCAAAAACACCCTTCTTTTTTATTACTCTGCTCCAATTTTTGTTTTTCTTTTTTTTTTTTTTTTGGTATTGACTTTTTAATTCTATACTGTTATCATTGTTTGGTTTTTTTTCAGGCGTTGAGATTACTCTTTTAGATCGATAGTACCAAAAGACTTTGTCTGGGTAAAATAATTCAAAGTAATTTGTATATTTCACTGGTTTACGAATTTACTGACCTAGTTTCTTGTAGTTGGGCTTCCCTCGGAAATTCCACGTACTTGGCCAAGTGTCACATTCAATTATGGTAATTTCTTAGTTAAAACCAATCTTGTACATCTTTAATTCACCCTAATGAAAAAGTTATTATAGAATAATTACTTTATTCAAATTTTATTTTTATTTCTATTTTTATTTGTAATTAAAAAATTAATGCTTTTAAAATTTCATCATAAATTATGTTGGATTGAAATATTTAAAAAGTACAGAAATTTTCATACTGCTATTATTATTATTATTATTATTATTATTATTATTATGGTTGAAATATAAATAGTATCAAAGCTAAGTGGTGACATCCATAGCCTATATATGTGTATTTATGGAATATAATTAAGAAAGTAAAATGACTGGGCCACGTATTTATCTGCAATTGCACACTATCGATCTTCATGACTACCGAGCGCCACGCTTAAAATATGACCCGGTGATAAAAAAAATAAAAATGAAATGAAAAAATGCAAAACGATGAAAAGATGAATGAAAACTATAAAAAGAAAACCACCACAAAATATATTTACGATTTAACGGTGCGTTAAGACGGAAATAACATTATCAAAAGTGACAATCTTTAATAATAGATCTCTGAAATTTATTGCTCGGAATTTTTTTTATTAAAATCTCATTATTATCAGTCAAGTATATTATAAATTTATATGAAAAACGTTTATTCAACTTTATATCTTAAATTATCTGACTGATTGAACTTATCAATAAAAAATATATATCTTCATAAATTTAATTAAAAAGTTTTTCTAAAAATTTATACACGAGAAATAAATTAATTAAATTTTTGTTAAAAAATTGAATTAATCTTTTGCAATTACTGGCTACTCGTAATTAAATTTAGCCGTTAATCAAAACATAATTTTAAAGCTAGACCGGTAGAGGTTGAAAATAAAGCTCGGGATTCAAAGAAAGGCGTCATGTCACGCGTTATATATAAATTATAATAACTGTATTATATTATTAAATTTATAATATATATATATATATATATATATATATATATATATATATATATATATACACAGATATACATAATTACTGTAAATTTATTTACGTATAGTACAGAAGGTAGGAAACATCTATATGTATAGAGTTTGGTTCTGGTGCTGGTGCAACCGTTGACGTCGACCTCTGGCCTCGACAGTCTATTTTAGAGCGTCAAACCGTTATATTAACGTTACCATCACAGATTTCTTGCTAATTTTTATCTTATTTTCATTTCAGAGCATACGTGCACTTGAAAAATTAACTATGCAATTCAATTATAATTAATAACTTAATCTTGGAAAATTTAAATTATTTTCAACCTCTTTTTTTTATAATAGAATATCATTCTTTTTTCTAGAGTATATATCTGTATTGAAAAAACTCATGAGACCTGGTATTGACTCACGCATGACACGCGAAATAGAGTATGCACTTAATGTTTTTTTACTTACTCCTTCCATTAACTTTTTACGGGCGGAATTTTTTTAGTCTGAAAGCTTTTTATTATAAGCAAAATATTCTCAATAAACTGAACAACATTAATCTAAAACTTTTTCCCCAAGGTAAACTTAGATTGAATACCTATAGAGTACAACAGTTATAATGATACTAAAAAAAAAAAAACAGTTTACTGCTTTTTATAATTTTATATTAGACAATATTTATAACATTGTATTAGACAATGTAAAATTCATTAGAAAGTAGTTTCCAAATTCGACTCCGAACAACGTGCATCACATATAAAATATTCAAATTTTTTATACTCTAGTCGCGAACAACATTCTACGTCATAAATTTTTTTTTATTAACTTGCATATTGATGCATACAGAGCTACTCAATTCTCTTTGAAATAAGTATCAAGCAATATTTGCTTTTATATTTAAGTATTATATTCTGCATATTGTATGGGAATAAATGAAAAATGTTTTTTTATATTTTTACTCATTCGATACGGTATTAAATTTTTTGTCAAAAAAAAAAAATACGGCAGTGGTTTTATTTTATAATAATAAAAAAAAAGTTTTTTTATTGAATTTTTTACATAGAATTAATGTCTATCACAATTCTGAATTTTATTTGTGTTTGAACAGTATAATAATAAATTGTAATAATAACAATGAGGCTTTATAGAAGCTAATTAAATTATACTAACGAAAAGCTATCGAAATTAATTAAGTTGATTTAATATCAATGACAAAATTAGTACCATTAGTACATAGAAGTTACACAACAATGAGGGAATGGCAAATATTCACGTAACGGAGTGCACCACCACCAGAACGGCTGATGATGATGATAATGCTAATGGGTTAATGAAAAAGTCAAATTAAAGAGGATATCCCGGTCAGTTTGTAAATCAATCGTATGGTAATTAGAAACAGATTTCAATGTTCATATGCTAAGTAGTGTACCATGGTAACTTGATTAATTCAAAGTCAATGTTTTGATATTGTTATATTATTCTCAGCAACCGTGTTCATTATGCTGCATCAGTATTAATTATTACGGTACATATATGTTGAGCCAATTATGAAATATAAATTTTTCCGGTTTCTTCAATGATACACATATGCATAATGTTTAAAGTTCAAAGTTACTGCAGGTAAAATATAAATAAATATCTAGAGATTCATATTTTTGAAGCTAGTGCGTCGAAATGATCAATTTTTAATTTCTGCAGTTGAATGAATAAAATTTATCTTCTGGATTTGATTGTTCTATTAATCGGATTAAAGAAAAGTATAAATTC